CTACTTCGAGGGTGATGGATGAATTTAATACCTGAGATAAGTGTACGGGTTTTTATAGGCGCAGTCTTGAAACTTTCCGATCTCACCTCGTATGTGATTAAATTATCTACTCAGGCAGGTGGCTGACCCCGAGATGACTAGTCACAACAATGTAGGTGTTGGTAACAAAGTAATAGTAGTAGTAGAAGTAGTATTTTGACTCACTGAGTGTTAGGATATTTAATAATGCTATTTCAACTGCTTTATAGCATCAAGAAATGGGAAGAATGGTGACTATGGAAGAATTTGGAAGAAGGCAATCATGACCTGTTTTAAGGTAATGTCTCCACATATTTATGGAGGCAAAGGAAAAACCACACAAAATCCATCCATCAGGATAGAACTAAATGCTTGCCCAGTGCAATGACAACATAACATGGAAAAGGCAATGATATAATTCCCCATTGATGCAGCCTACATCTGATGATAAACTGTATATTCTTACTTACCTAAGGATGATACATTTCTTACAAATCTTCATAGCTTGCTCTTTCAGTGATTCTAGAGCATCCATAATCCTTCTTCTGTATGTAAGTAAAACTTCTTCTTCTTTACAGCATTCTTTCTTTTTAATTTCATTTTCTTTCTTATGATACTCAGTGTCTTTAATTCTTTCTTCAAGTTTTTTGTCTACTTCGGCTTTATTGTATTTAGTGGCATCAGAAATCAAATCACATAGAAGGTCAGATTTTGCTATTACTCTCTCTGCAACTTGTTGCTGGTCTTCTGCTGTTCTGTACTGGCGACGATTGTTTAGATACCACTCACTCAATGTAAACGGGGCTGAAGTAGATGGAACAGTCACTAGTTCCTGTCTCACACGTCTAAAATCCATATTACCTAAGTAACACAATGTTCATCTTTATTAGAATAGGTGGCATTTAATTACTGGTGATGCATATTTTTGGTAGCATTATGCCCTTTCATAAAATATATCTTTGATAATGTAATTGTGATTCTCCCCCCAAAATATTAGAAATATGTTTGGATTTCAAATAACTTCAGGTATCAGTAAATTAATATGTAATTAGGTAGGATCAGCTATCTCCATTTCCTGTACAGCAGACCCACCTCATTTGCAGGTTGTTGTAATATTTCTGCATCATGGTGTATGTACCTTGCTGTTGTGCAGTTGCATGGAATAATATGCAACAGCCTGCATCTGCCTTCCTATCTTAGTAGCTTTGTAGATATAATAATACTTCAACTGTACTTATTGTAATTTTTAGAACTGATTTTTGTCCTTGTGTTTGATCACCCTGACAACTTTCACCAGGAAATTATACTACATTGAACAAAGCCTCTTCATTAGTTTTTGTTAATATTCTGGACATTATCCATTATCTTATGCTTGTCATAACACAACGTTTCAGGGACTGGCTCTGTCTCCGTCATCAAGTAAAACATAAGAGGGACAAGGGGTTCCTATTCTGTGGGGTCTCTAAGAAGGAGGTAATCTCAATCACTGGACCACTGTCAAATGGATTTTAAAGTTACAAGGTGGAAAGACAGATCCACAAATGGACTTCTTAACCCTCCCATTCCCTTCAAAATAACAGACAATTCTGTGTATGCTGCTAAGGTATCAAGACTTAAAGGTATGCGTAACTTGTAAACAAGCATCCTTTGTGGTTGATGGACCAAACTTTGGTTGTTTATAAACGTATGTAGTTAATAAAGTGATACTAGCTATCATAGAAATGGAAGGGGGAAAATGAAATGAAGGGTTCTACTTCGGAGCATGATGCTAACCACTCACCGCCACCTAGTGTCGAGGTTAAGAATGAGTAGTAGCTATACCTTCTCTCCCCGCAAGTGCCTATATGGAGTATAGTGGGACAGATTTTACAGCTGTGCTCAATATCACAGCACAAAAGTAACTCTAATGATGGGATGATTAGTATGTAATTAACTGGAAAGGATGTGGAAGGAAGTGGTCATGGCACTATCCTATTATTATTTATTATTGACTGCAAATGGGTTTATACCCGGTGGCAGTGTAATCCTGTTATTGACTGCAGAAATTGGGGACAACCATGAAAAACCTGCCAGAATAACTGGTATAATTATTGTTGTTGTTGTTGTTATTATTATTATTGATGATTATGATGCCATTTATTTTGATCTTAGCAGTGCATTTGATATTGTCTGTCATACCTTGCTACTCAAAAAACTTAGTGCTTTTGGACTTTCTGGTGGTTATGTAAAGTGGTTTCATAGTTACTTAACCAACAGATAATGTCAGGTTCATGTTTCTGGTACTCTTTCATCTTCTTTTATAGTGCTCTCTGGCTTTCCACAGGGATCTGTTTTGGGTCCTCTGCATTTCAACTTATTCATTGATGATATATGCACTCTAGGGTGTCTTCTTCTAGCTGATGATATCAAAATATTTTGTGCCATTGAATCTCCTAATGACTGCAATCAAATTAAATCTGACATTGGCTCTGTACAAGGCTGGTGCACTGCTGACTTCATGAAACTCTGTTATCAGTAAAATCAGAATAATTTCCTCCTCAAGAAAACCCACTACATTGAACTATGATAATGATCTGTTTCAGTCCTCTGTAACACACACCTACACTATTGAAAAGATGGAAATAATTGATTCTAAACTTTGATTTCACAGCCATGTTGACAGTGTGTTTTCACAGTGTAGTAAGTTGTTTGGTCACGTTTGCACATTTTCCTTTTTGTTCTCTAATCTTGACTCCCTGTATAAGTTATATGTTACCTTTGATAAGAGCTCGAGTATACCTCAGTCATTTGGAATTCTGTTATGACTACTGATGCCAACAAACTGGAACGTATCCAGCAAAAGTTTGCAGCCCTTTGTTATAATTGTTTCCTCTGCCATGTGCATTACAGCTATGTTAATGCTTTACTGTATTTAAAACTCCAAACCCTATATAAGAGAAGGTACTGCAGTGATGCACTGATCCTTATGCAAGTTTACCATGGTTTTGAATACTGCCCTTCCCTTCTGGAAGCTATCAGTCTCCACATTCCTACTCATAATTTGAGAGATTTTTCTATGTTCAGTTACACCCTTTCAATTAAAAATATTCCTGCTTGTTGCACAACAGCTGCTAATGTTATCTGTGGTGACTGCGATACATTTGAAAGAAAAACTGTTTCCTTAATCACGTATTGCAAAACTGTGCTGCTATCAATATATTAGATATTAATTACAGTTAATAAATTTATATACATTTTGCTCTTTCTCTCCTCCACTATTCACCTTTGACCAACTGTGTGTTATCACTCTAATTATGTAAATTCTCTGATCTAATACCTTGTATATTTTGCATATTTTTTCTCATTTTAATCTATTATTGTTATTATATAGCTTAGTACTGTGGTACAATTTCTGGAGGGTGAAACAATATATCATTTCTGCATGACCTGACTTCAAGACCAGGATATGCCCCTAACTTCATCATCCTGAATATAAGAAATACCCTATGTCATTAAGTTTGTGTCAATAAATACTGAATAGATCATGAACATGTTTGAAACGAAAACATATACTACTGCTTTGCCAGTGCTATTCATAGTTTCTCTTAGGCCAATACAATTCTATCAATAAAAATTTGCATTCCTAGCAATTTTGCTTTCAAAATTAGCTTTTTAACAAATTGTGATGTAGTGAATGTACTTTTACTTCGTTAACATACGCAATATTATATTTCACCTGTAAGTAAATTCACAAATAAATATAGTTTTGAGGTTAAAACACTGTAAGAGTCTTAAAAAGCCAGTGTGTTGCCATGGGAACAGTTCAGCTTTTCATTGGTCAATCAATAAATCATCGTTCGCTGGTTAGTAATAATTGTTCAGGTCTGCCAACGAGATTATCTATACTGCCAACATTGTCTTAATTTGTTGTTCTCGCGTTGGAATGTTGTGTTCTCTAACATTTTGCAAGATGGCTGGCGAAGTAGAAGATGTGTGTACTTGAGAATTATTTATTGTTTTTCCTGATTTGGTAAAGGGTGACTGAATTGTTAACGTCATGTTTTTACGTAAGCTTGTTACTTAGACTGAGGAGCATAATAAAACCACGTACTATATCGTGCTGGCATTGCTTGAACGATTGTTCTTTTAACGTTACAGGTAGGTATAGAAATAAGATTAATGATGTTTATGTTCGTAATTTTACATGTTTTGCTTTAACGCATTGGAAATGTGTGCAGTAAACTGCAATGGAGGGATGAATTTCTCTGTTAGTCTCACAATTTTTGTTATCTAAAGAAGTACATTTAATCGGCATTTGCGTCCAGATTTTTTAATTTTAAATTTGACATTGCCGCGTTAGCGTTCTGTTATCTTAATGCTCTCCAATTACTTAGAATAATACGTTGTTTCTAGATTTGTTGTTTCGAAACTTGTAAGTTACAGAACCATAGAACATCGCTGCTGTATAGCATCCTGCTTTGTATTTGTGAGGCCCAGGTTTAAATCTTGATCCGGAGACGGACTATCCTGACGGAGGTTTTTCGTGGTTTCCCCACATTCCAGACAAATACAAGGACAGTAGCTTACACTAGGCCGTGATTCTGCCCATATTCTACACAATTCATTATTACTATCATTCGATGCTGTATAGTCCAATCTACTGACATTGTCATTAAATAAATATGTAAAATACATAACCTGAAAATTTACATGGTTGCCATATTGATATTTTAACATATATAAGAAAATAACTGCAGGGTGGTTACCATGTATACCTCCATCTGAATTTGGGTTTTTATTTACAGTTACTAAACATAAACCAGTTCAACCAAAGTTGAATTTGACATGCTATTAACAACTATTCTAACTTATCTAACACTACTTGACACCTTGTGAAAGTATTTTTATAAGAACTTGTTTTGTGTAACATTTACAAACATTCATTATGCTGACATATACATTCATAAAATATTGTTTTACATATATTGATGAAATGAGCTGTGGTCCACTCACATTTTCACATTGTTTCTTCAAATGTGAAATTGC